TCCTAAAAAATGAGTTAGTGGAATAAGGTTTTATTCTGGCTCAGTTGATCTACCAAAGTCATTTTTCATCTTGAAAGGATTCAAAGAGCATTGCTCTGGTTTTCATTTTCTTCTTCAGATCTCTCACCATACTACTGAATGTGATTGCTTATTTTTATGTGGTCATTTGTTACTATCCATTTCACCATAACCTAATGGCAGTTCTAGTCAGCTCAATTCAAGTTATTGAAAACTAGAACCTCATCTAAAGGATAAATTATTGAATATTACCGTTGTAACGTGGTTTATCCCTAATAACCGGTGGATGCAAGCTCCAAAATCAATATGCCCCTAATAACTGTTCAGAAATTTCTCTTTCATACATCCAATAGCCTAAAACTACCAATCACATTATTCCAGCCTCTAGTAATTTCTCTATTTAAAGAGGTTCATGATGACTTTATTATCCAAGGGAACTAGGACTTTTCGGGATTTCTTGTTTCTTTGTTCTTTAAATATTATGCATTCTAAATATTTTTTTTTCTCTTGCAGGGGTCATATCATATGCAGATAATGATTGTTGATGGAGATGATAATAAACTTACATGCTTTGGCTTTGATTATGAATTGGTGATTGCATCACTATTTGGAGATAGCTAAAGAACATTTATTTATTGATTAGTCAGCTATTGATATTTGTATATATGAACTCTTCTAAAGCTTTTTCATCTTTAGATCTTTGTTCCTTGGGCAGACAACTTCTGCATTATGTGACCATTTCAATAACTTCTTCAATAGAATTAGTAGTGAAAATCGAGTAGAAAAATCTTGTTTTCTGCATACATTACTACTTTTCAACACGTGTTGCATGGATTACTTTGTTCTTTGTAGATATAGAGTGGAAAAGGAAACAAAAAAGTACTCAGCCTGACATTAAATTAAAATAAGTTGTACCAGTTGAGGAAAGATTCAAAATGTTTCTTCTTGCTTGTTTTAATGTGATCATTGATGTAAAGATGTTTCTTCAAATAGTTAAGTTACATTTGAACTCTTGTACTTGATACCATCTGGTCATCGTAAAGATTTTAACAGGTAGGAGAGAGGAATGCAAAGTGGGAGGGAGGAAAATTTTTTTCTTTCTCCAGAAAAAGAAAAATAAATAGCTACCAAAATCTTGATGATGGGAATCTCCCATATTATTAGGGAAGTATTTTCCTTTTATAGTTAATATTTTCTAGTCTCTTGTATGCATAATTACCTGAAAAAGTATTTTTCTTCATTAGGCTGAATTTTTTAGACTCTTGTTAGATCAGGAAGCATGAACAGCATAGGCATGCATTGTCTCCCGACGAATCATGAAGCTTGTTGAAAAAGTGCACGAGTTAAACTACAGAAGGTTCCTTTCCTATTCCCACTCCCATATACCAAATCATGATGGGGGATGATAGTTTAGTCTCTGCCCCTTTTCACTTTGCTGCTTTACTGATAAAGCTTACCAAATAAGGTGGGGTCTGGTTCTTCCTTCTTCTTCTTCATCATATATTTTTTTTTTCTTTTTTCTTCTTTTTTTCAATTTGATTAGTGTGTCATTACATGATTGATGGACCATTGTTGGTGATGGGTCAGAGTGTGAATTAGAAATAGTTGCCTCACTGAAAAATGGCAGCCAAGCCCCACTCTGCTAAAGTCATAAATTCTTGCAGAACTCTGAAAGCAAACTAACAAACAGCCTTTTTTTTTCTTTCTTTCTTTCTTACAGCCTCCACTTTCTAAAGCCATTGGAGTCCAGAAGTGCAATGTGAGTTCACCTATTTCTACTATCTCTTTTTTTTTCTTCTTTTTTATCATAAGATGTTAAATATCATCCTCCTGCTCTTTAGTGATGACAAGAAATAGGTGAAGGAAATGAAGGGAAGGCTGATGAAGAAGATGAAACTCTTTCCTTCCATTAGCTCAATAAAACAAGGTCTCTCTCTTCTGTCAGACCCCACTGAAAACACTTGTAGCCAAATGTGTGAAACCCCACCAGTTTTTCAAGAACAAATTGCCAAGAGCAGCAATTTCAGGGTGTCCCTGCCAGTAGTAGAATGTAGCTTCATATCCCAACATGTTAAAGATCTGGAAGATGGAGGATGTGAACTTGGAATTAGTGTCAGCAACCGAAATCATCCCGATCACTTTATAAAGTCGGAAGAAACGTTGGCTGCCAAGCATAATTCAGAGCCTCCATGCCTATCAGAAATCAATGCTATGGAACCAAATGGTGGGCTCCAAGTGGAAGTAGACAATCATCAAGAACATCCATCATCTTTACTAGACTTTGAAGTGAGGTGCCCACCGGGAGGAAGCGAATCCGTTGTATTTTACTCAACGAGCTTGAGAGGCATTAGGAAAACGTTCGAAGAATGCAACAGTGTTCGGTTCCTGCTCGAAAGCTTCAAAGTGTTGTTCTTCGAGAGAGATGTGTCGATGCACTTGGAATTCAGGGAGGAGCTGTGGGAAGTCTTGGGAGGCAGGGTGATCCCACCTCGGCTTTTTATTAAGGGAAGGTACATCGGAGGAGCGGACAAGGTGGTAGGCTTGCATGAGCAAGGAACGCTAAGGAAACTGCTCGAAGGCATACCATTAGACTTGGCAAATTCACCATGCTCTTGCTGTGCAAACACCAGGTTTCTGGTCTGCCCAAGCTGCAATGGCAGTTGCAAGGTTCTGAAATATGACAATAATGACAACGCCGACGATGACGTTTTGTATATTAGATGTCCCGATTGCAACGAAAATGGGTTGGCCAAATGCCCCATTTGCTGCTGAAAACACTTATAATCTTCCCCATGTAACAACACTGTCTTCTTCTATGTAAGTCAACATCTTCTTTATTAGAAGTTTTTGTTCATTAGTTAGCTTGTTAGGACTCAATGGCCACGTCACAGTCGAATTCTCAACCGCTGTGTAGTCTTTATGTAGTTTTAGTATCTCTTCTCCTAGTAGACTGCTTTTGATTCCTGCAAGACAATGAAATCTAGCAATCAAAGCTACATTTTCTTGAACTCAGTTCTTGGAGATGAATCTATTTATGGGTGTCAATGGAGAATTTGAAATATGGGGAAGAACATGATGATCCAAATAATTGTATTTGTTTTGTATAAAAATGATTGAGAATGATGGAGTGAGGAGGACAAGCACATGGCTACTTTGATAAAAGCCTAGAAAAAAGTCATTGATTGATTGATATCAAAAGGTTGGGATTTGGGAAGAAAAGGAGAGGGTGTTAGGATTACAAAAACTTTAAAGTTAAAGGGCAAAGACAGCTTTTTTCATTGGTTTTCTTTTTCTCTTATTTCTTTCTCCCTATAGTTTGGCAAGAAAAAGATGGGCAAAAAAAGTATCATCAATCTTGAAGGTCAAATAGGTTAAAAATTCAATTGCCAAGCCTATATAGCTTTATCAATTGCCCTATTAGACTCAATTTGGTTGGTTGGATGCCCTTTGATGAAGGAAAAAAACTTGTTTCTTGTACTCAAAGATGGTAATATTACCAAATTTACATGGTTGATTTTGGAGAGTTGTTGGATGGTTTTTTAGGTAGATCATAAAATGGGTATAAGAATATTATCTATTTATGTGTTTAGTGGAGAGGTAAGATTAGTTTCGTCACTTGAAACACACAATATGAAAAAAGTATAAGTTTACAATCAAACTTATCTAGTAGTATACGAATTGTTTGTTTCAGAATATTATCTATTTATGTGTTTAGTGGAGAGGTAATATTAGTTTCGTCACTCGAAACACGCAATATGGAGAAAGTACAAGTCTACAACTAAGCTTGCTTATCTATACGTATTTGTTGTTTGATATTTTTCGTTCCTCATCTTTGTTTCTTGTATCACTTATTATATTGCTTGAAAAGGAAAAAGAATGTAATATATTTGGAAATTATTTACAATTTTTGTACTCTTTTTTTATGTGTTTAAAAAAATAAGTTTTTAAGAGTGGAATATTTAAAATCAATATCATGTAATTTTCAATTTTCTATATGTATTATTCATTTTAGGAGTAAGAAATGACAAATTGTAACCTTTAGTTAATGTGTATTTTTAAATTCATAATACAAAACAACAAATTTGGAACCCTTATTGAAAGATGGGGAGACATAAGATATTCATGATATTAGGTTCGATATTGCGGAGCAACGTACCAAAATATATGTTTCCCTAAAACCTAAAATATAAGAATTGAAATGTTATCACACTTACGTGTTCATTTATTTTGTCATATAATTTTTATATACATTCTCAAATGATCTATGCCAAAATTTAAGAAAAAACTAGTTTTCAAAAATTTATTTTTTGTTTTTACATTTGGCTAAATATTCAACTAGTTAAAAACTTACTAATGAAATTAAACAAAAACGAGTATAACTTTTAAAAACATAAAACTGGGGAAGAAAATAGTTACCAAACGACTTGAAAGGAATTAGGAATTTGCATGTTTCTCACCAAAAAAAATCAGTTAAAAAAGGGGAAATAAGTCAAATTTGTCTTTCATCAACAATTATCAAGAAGTCTTCAATCATAGCTATAATAGGCATGTGCTTTTTAGTAGAAAATTAAAAGAAATCCAATAAGATGAAAATCATAAGAAGTTGGATTAGGGTTTCTAACAACTTTACCTACACACTCAAGAAGTCAAACAACATGGATTTTTCTAAGAAATAAATCATTTCAATTTGAACATTCGAGTAACTTCATTCAACTATATACATTTTTGTTCTTTTGACTCTAATATCTAGGTATATTTGTCACCATATTTCCATTTTTAGTATCCATATAGTTTGTTCGGTAAGAATATCAAAATTATATCTGAGGAGAGATAAAAGAGTCAAGGAATTTGACCAATAGATAAATAATCTTGGGTAAAATATACTTTTAGTACTGAGTTTGAAAATAGATGCTATTTAGTCCATAAGTTTCTAAAAATGACAGTTTGGTACCTGGTTTTCAGAAAATAGTTCTAAATGGTCCTTGAGCTTATTTGGTACTAACAAAAAAAAATGATGTGACATAATTGAATTGGTAAATTTTAAATAATTTTATATTCCATCATTCTTTAAAAAAAAATAATGGCAAGGAAGGAATCCAAGATATAAGATGAAGGGGGAGAGAGAGGGGGAAGAGAAAAAAAAAAGGAAAAAAACTACACATGATAAAAATAATATAAATTTATTTAATATTGTCACGTGATTCAAAATTTGCACTCAATTATGACACGTTATTTTTCCGTTAGTTAATTAACGGTCAAATAAGCTCAGGGACATTTAGAACTATTTTCTAAAGATTAGGACCAATGTGTCACTTTTTGAAACTTATGGATTAAATAGACATATATCTTCCAAATTTTACCCAATAATCTTTGTCAAGTTAAGAGATGCGATGAATTGAGCTTCTTTTTTGAAGAAAGGTTTTCAAATAGGGTTCATTTTCTACGAGAATAAAACTTGCCTAAAATATATTTTAGTAAATCGTTTTCTTGTTTTAACTTTGATTTTTCAAAAATAACTTTCTAGAACAATGGCATTAACATGTGAAGAGCGATTTCAAGTGCACAATAGCACTAACATTTACAACTCGCTCAATCATAATTCTTTAAAATAATTGGAAACAATCTATCCAACCCTAATATAAAAATTATTATAATCAATGAAAAATTCTGTAACAAAGGACAAGAATCCTATGCAATTAAACAAAAATCATGGCATGTTTAGTGGTATGGTTGACATTCAAAAGTTTAAAAAGTTTCCCTTTGATTGAAAGTAATAATAAGGAGACTTCCCTTAAGTTTTAATCAAAGAAAATTGACCATGAAAGCAATGTTTTATATTACCCAAAAAATAAAATAATAATAATAAATAACTATTTTCTTCTTTTATTTAAATATTAAAAATGTCTTTTCATCCACTTGTAACACCCATTTTGATTTTTTTTTATTAAATTACAATCTAAATTATATTTTAATAATGGTTTCATTTACTTTTTACTGTTTAAATTCTATTTAAGCCAGTCAACTTTGAAATATTCTAATCATTTTTGTTATTGCCATTAATTTTACATAAATCTTTTGATAAAAGTCTAATTTGACATGCAGTTTATTCGAGCATATGCTTTTGTTGAGGTAAGACGTAACAGTCGACTTGAGCATAGCTCAATTAATTCATACATTGTCAATTTGAGGATAGCTCAACTGTTCGAATCTCATCTCCACATGTTTGTACTTCAGAGAAAAAAAATTAATTCAAACATTAGTAACATAAACATAATTTTATCTTTTATAGTAGGTCATGCATCTAACTTCAAAATAAATTAATGATATTTTTTAAGTTGTTTTTCCTCCTTTTTCCTCATGCTTATCTTTTAAAATAAACATAAGGAAATTTATGATGGGTGACAAAATTGATTATGTTAATACGTCTCTTGGAAAAACAATTTGCAAATATAGAAATTTTTTTAATTTATATGATAAAGTCTATCACTAATATATCATTTCGTATCAATGATATATAAATACGAAGTTACACCGGTGTATTCGTGTTATTGATATCCTAGTTCTTTAAATTTCCAATTATTCAGACAAAATATGCTATTACCACAAAAGCCCTTGATTTAACTTCCAAAAAGGTTACTTTAAACCCACAATAATCTTTATAAAAAACACTCATGAAAATGAAAAGCAAAAAGACTATTGCAACACTAGTGCCAAACACTCCCTTCATGAAGTCTTGTTTATTTGGGGGAAGTATAATAATTGAATTGTAGTGAGAGAAAAAAAAATACAAAGAGAAGCCAAGTGGAGAGTGAGAGAGCCCAACACAACAAAACACCACCTCAAAATAGCTGATAGGATACCACAAATGATAATGGAACAACAAATAATTGTGCTGATAAACCTATGAAATGAACCACAAAAAACAACACCCTCCACCACATTATACATTGGGAATTGAAACCACAAAAGCACCACCAAAATGCTTGGAATTTATCTCTCTGTCTTTTACCAGCCTGCCAAAAGTTAAAAAAAGAAAGTTACAGTGGGGGGGGGGGGTCTCTGTTCTTGAAATTTACAGCAGAAAGTAAGAAAAAAAATGGCAGAAGAGCAGAAGAGCAGAACAGTTGATGTAATAATTCACAGAAGACTACTCATTTATGTCCAAGAGGTTCATATCCATGGCAGATCAGATCAGATCAGACACCAAAAAGCAAGCAAAAAAGAAACACAGCCATATCCCTCTCTTATGCAACTGGAAAGCCTTCTCCATAGACTCCTCTCTTTTTTGTTAAGCTCTCAGTCACTTAGAAAAACCAAAAACAAGTTAGATTAATCAAGCATTCCTACAATTTACATCAGGCTTGTGTGGTTGTAGTAGCAGCAGCGAAGTAGCGGCGTCTGCTATTGTGGCGTCGGGGCTTTGAGGCGTGGCGGCTTTGAGATCTTCTGCTTCCTGAGAGTTGGGTGGAGGTTGTAATAGCTGGGTGTAGTGCAGTTCGATCTGTAACCGGTGGTGAAGCGGGGTTGATGCCATTAGGCCTTTCTTGATATCAGCTTGCAGTTCCCGAATTGGGATAGCAGCCAAGAAGCTCTTGATGTATTCTTTGCAGGATTCCTTCCCGCGACACAACACTTCGTCTTTCTCCTTTGTTGGTTCTTCGGGCTGTGAGCTTACATTCGCTAGTGTCATCAAGCTCTCTTCCTTCCCGTTTACCTGTTGGTCCTTGTCCTCGACTACTGTCGCAACAATCTGCTGATCGTTGGCAGTTTTTTCACCTGCTGTCTGATTAGTGTCAGGCATTTTACTGATTGTAGTGTTGCTGTCAAATTTCAAGATGTAGGCCTGATTGCATCCTTCATAAAGTCTCTCCCCCAACGTGTCGATTATGTAGTACGCGTCAGATTCGACCTTAAGAACAAAGAAATGGTCGTTCCAACTGACAATATAAACTTGTGGTTCACTGTTGTCGGGTAATTCTAACCCCGTACGGCTAATCTCATCCCATATGTTATCAAAGGACATGGCACCATGCAAAAAATCAAAACTTGCCTCATTTATGCCATCTGGATGGAAAAAACCAATGAAGGACTTCCTTGGAACTACAGAAAGGGGTCGGATTTTGGCTTGGAGGACAGTTTCTAGATCAAAATGCCTGTCCGGGAATTTTTCCCGATAAATTTCATTTTCACAGAGTTTCCTCCACTCTAATGAGCCATCTCTAATCAAACTATCAAACTGAGATTTTATAGGCATGAGATTTTGGCTGTTGTGAAACCAATCAGCAATAACATCTACAAGAGCAGTACATGCACTTTCACCGGCTGCCCGCTCACTCCGTTGATCGATAGAAGCAAAGAATACCTGTGTTTGCAGCTTCATATGTCCATCACGGCTTACGATTTCTTTTTGCTCCCAAGTCCCAATTGCAAAATTGTCATCCCCAAATTCAGAAACTGATGATCTATTCGCAGTTGAATCCTCTTCAGTCTTATGCCACTGCAAAAACCAACTCTATAACTTAGCAAGAAATGTAGAAAAGAAACAAACTATTGAAGTCTTGATTAAAAGCTTAATGCAGATCCCTCATATTATCACTAACGGAAAAGGAAAGCAGATAAATTTCTAAATGCTTTGACAATCTTACCCCGAGACCAAGAGATTCATCGGAGCTGAGCTGCCTTCGATCATGATCAATGTCATCACCGCCTTCTTCGCCATAGGCCTTCTTCAACAACGGCTCTCCTTTTGCCTTGGGAGATCTAAAACTTAATTTTCTCTTCCTCCATGGCAGGAGGCCACGCTTTGAACTTTGTGGCAAAGGTTGCTCAGAGGCTGATGCAGTTGAATCCTCCATGCTCGAGCACCCCACATCCGATTTTCGGTTACTATAGTAAACTAAATTTTCGTCATTACCATTGATCTTCAAATCAGAGTAATATGATCCTCCAGCATAATTTGCATACGCCAGAGTGCCATAACTAAATGACTTCCTAATGTTAGTATTATCCTCCTTCCCTTCATCTGTTTCCCCTTCCTCAATGTCATCAAACGAATCAGAGTCAAATGGGTAGCTAGACTCGCCGCCATCCTCACTCTTGGCAGAGCACCTGCCCTCGCTGCCATCTTCTTCATGGCAAGCCTTTTTCACCTTTCGAGTCGATACAAACTCTGTAAAAATCTTCACTTTCCTGAGGCCAGCTTTAAGAGCAGAGAGCTCATCCTTTTCTGCTGGGACACTTTCTCCTGGCCAGGGTGGAGATAGAGCTGGGGCTACTGATCTCTGTACAGGTTGTGATACAACTTGAGCAGTTCTTAGCTCCAATAAGTTCAGTGATATCTGCACAATTCAGAAATGATAAGAATAAAGCACTTAAAAAAAACAAAAAATCGAAGCATTCTGAGGAAACAGAGAGATATGAATACGAACCCAGAGAACATGACTAGCCTCAGCAGAATTTGTAGATGGATTAAGGGGTATCTTCAATTCAAGCTCTTTTTGTTCAGCCACGGAAATGTATTCAGACAGGTTAAGAGATGCTGAGCCAACAACCAGAACTTTGTTTTTCGAACCTTGGTTTAAGCCCTGGGTAGAGAGGGAAAAAAAATGCAGGTTCACTATCAACCATTACCGAAAATATCTCACTGCAAAGATAAAGAATTGGGAATACACCAAATTCATCCATATAAATCTCATATCAAGAACAAGAATCAAACAATAGTAATGTGAAAGCATATAATTTGATAACAAAGAAAAACTATCATCCTTAAGAACAAAATTCAGAAACCCACAAAAACGAGTTGAAAAAGTCAACTCCCATAATGGATTCATTCAACTGCCCTTAAGAAAGGGCAATATCTTTGTCTCAGCAGAAGTTTCTTCAAAGGCCATAGACTAAGAATCCAACACGGATACTGATCAAATAGGAATAAATAGTTCATTCAATTCAATACACAAGAACTGAGGGACCTGGATTCAAAAAAATTAAGAAAAACAAAATCATATGGCAACTCACAAACGATCTGATTCTAAATGGAGAAAGATCAGCAATTACTGTTTCCATCCCAGTACAAATCTTAAGGAAGAAAAATGCCCAAAAAAGTGAATATTATAATCGCAAGAAAAACCAGTCCACAGGAAGAGTTAAAGATGTTTCTGCTTCAATCCAAATGTCGAGGATGGAAATCAATCATGAAAGGGGGAACAGTGAAAAACCCAGGAAAAATCCAATGTCGTAAACCAAAAAAAAAAAAGTAGCCAAAGATTCAATCGAGGGCGAAATACACCAAAAAAAAACCCATAATGAAACTTACATTGAAAGCAGTGAAAACGATCTCCCATGGATGGAACACATTTTCCTTGTAAGCCGAGAGAGTACAGACACTCTGGAACTCCTCATCCCACTGAGCGACGCCGTTTTGATCTGCACCCTCCGCCTCCCTCGTGTAATTTCTCTTCACCGCGGTTCTCCGCAGCGGGCCAAGAGCCATTTTCGGACCCTTCCATTTGATCTCGACCGTCAATTTGTCCACCCCCTTCTCCGCGCCGCCGTCTCGCGGCGGATCAAGCCCTTCTAGTCTCCTCACCGCAAGCCGAACCTCATACTTCCTCGAAACCAGCGGCGGCCATGGCCGCCACTTCATCATCTTCACCACCATCTCCTAAAACGTAGAAATCCAACAAAAGAACCTAACTCTATTCAAACCCAAACGGAGAAAAAAAGGACCCCAAATTCCGGGATGGGATAATTCGGCCAAAAATCTTCCAAGATCTTCGAAGAACAGTTGTGGGGTGAATCCGGTAGCTCAATAGAACACAAATTGAGTGAAAAGAAATTGTGGGTTTTGTTGTTGAGATTAGAAGAAGCAGAAAAGAAAAGAAATTGAGAAAGAGAGATGAAGAATCTGCCGTTGGCTTTGGAACGAAACTTAGAGAGAGGAGAGAGAGAGACAAAGAGAGTGAAGGGCAGTGGAAGTCTTTTTATGGAGAGATTGTTTGGATATGTTTTTCACGAATTCACACAAATTTTGTTTTTTTTTTTTCTAAATTTATTTAAGGGAAATAAAATTTATTAAAAAAAGAATCACCATTGACTGTTTGGATTTTGGAGAAAGGTACCCATTTTATTTGGTAAAAAAATCTTATTCTTGTTGGGGCCATAGGAGTAAACATTGGTTTAAAACTTTAAATATCATATTAATTTATTACTATTGATTTTGTTTTCTAAATTTCTAAATTTAGTTTATATTTAATCTTATCCACTCAAAATGAAGTATTTCCCTACTTAAATCTAGTTCAAGTTTAGGTATCTATCTCCAACGAAAAAAATATTACTCGTTCGAATTCCTACTCTCATTATACGAAAAAAAGAAGAAAAAAGTGGGAGTACTTTTGTCATAAAATCACATGTATTTTATTGTGATATTTTTTGAATTGATTTTGACATTATTTTTATCGCTGCCAAAATAATTTTTAAAAATGGCAAAATTAGTCAGGCTTGTTTTTATGAAAAAATAGCATGTCATTTTATAAGAAAAGTTTTTTTTATCAAATTACTACTTAAAATTGAGGGGGAAACTCCAGTCTTTGCATAAAAATGTTCATGATGAAAGTTTCTATTCCATATGAGAATATTAAAAAGAAAAAAAACTATATATTTATATTGACTTTTTTTTGGCCTATTTGATGATTATTTTTATGTTTATTTTATTTTTAAAAATTATATATGTATTTTTCTTTTCTTTTTTCTTTTTTTGTTGTCAAACTATTTGTTAAATTCGAGGACATCAAAAGAAAAAGGAAGGAAAAAAAAAAGACTCGAACCATAATATTACAAATAGATTTTAGAAGATGATAAAATCATGGAATTATTTTTTATCTATGAAAAACTTGTTCTTTTTTTTCGACATTAATTTTTTAAAGAATTTTCAAAATATATGAAAAAAATCCAAATAAAATTATTAGTGAATATGTATGTTAGAATTAAAATCCCTACATCTAAAATTATAATTCCCTTTCTATCATTCATCTTGATCAACTTTTTCTTAATTTAGTACAACATATAAAGATAACACCAAGCTTATAAGTTTGAGTCTCGTCTTCCACATTTGTAATATACATTATAAATAAAAGGTTATAAAAACATTTTTCGTCCGTCTACTTTCATTAAAGTTACAATTTAATTTGTAACGATTTAGTCACTGTGCTTTCACATTAATTTCTAAACTTTAGTATGTAACAATTTAATTCCTAAGGTTTAAAGTTTGTAACAATTTAGTTTGAACTTTTTTTTAAAGTTTTTTATGTACATAGATCGATAAATCAAAGAGGGATCAAATTTGTATATAAATTATGAAGATTAAATTGTTATATGATAAAATCAACACTTAATTTAGACTTCCACCGTAGAAACTAATTTGTTATAAATTTTAAACTATAAAGATTAAATTGTTATTTTAACGGGAGTAGAAGATCACATGTGTTTCTTTTTTCTTTTTTTTTAAACCAAAATCATATATTTAATTGAATTTAGATCTTTCTTTAAATTGGAAATAGGGGTTGGAAAAAAAAAACCCAAATTACTGGTTGGATAGGTTTCCGGTTAGTTTTATTTTGGAGGGATTTGTTTTGGGATAAGAGGGGCATCTTTTTTAACCAACGGCGCAGTAATGAGGTAGTTGACTTATGCAACTTTTTTTTCCCAACATTTTAGCCAATTATTTATGATATTTGGGTGGTATTTAATGAAATATATAAATCATTTTTTTTTAATTTATGGGTTTATTTGAAAATAAAATTGTATTTTTTTTGGGAGTTCGAAAATAAAATTGTTGTTGTTTCTTTTGTAAGAATTTTCCAGTACTTAAATTATTGGTGTTGTATTTTTACTAAAATAACGAACTAGTTTTTGTGTTTTTTAAATTAGTAACAATTTAGTCTGTAGACTTTAGAATGTAAAAATTTAGTATTTTTGTTTTAGTACAACATGTGGGGTGGGAGATCGAACTCACAACCGGTCAATTATCGCTGAATTATACTCGCTTTAGCGTAACAACCTAGTATTTACTTAAAAATCTCATCAAAATTAAGTGTTGATTTTTATCCTATAACGATTTAATTTTTATAGTTTATAACCACATTTAAATTTATCGATCTACATATATAAGAAACTTAATTAAAAAAAATTTTGCGATATGGACTAAATTACTACCAATTTGAAAGAACATAAACTAAATTATTATACATTAAAATTTATAGACAAAATTGTTACTTCTACGCAAGTAAGACCAACAATATTTGTTAATCTAAATTGTTTGTATTTAAAAAATTAAGTACCATATTAGTTTAAAAGATTGCTAATAAATCATTTTTATTTTTATTTTCATCCTGGCAATTAAATTTTTACACTCATTCATTGTATTATAAAACATAAATAATCTAAATAGAGACTGAACTTTTCGTGAAAGATTCTTCGAATACTTGAAATATAATTTTATAAAAGCTTATAGAGTAAAGTTGAAATTTAAAAAACACAATGATGAAATTGTCTATGAAAATTCAAATGCTAAAAGAAAATTTTTAATTTTAAAAAAATATATTTCTGAAAAACTCATTAGAGATTTTTTTAGTACGATATATAGAGATGGAGGATCGAACTCACGACCTCTTAGTTGGAAATATATATCAATTATCACATAACTATGTTCGCTTTAAAATGTAGAATTATTACTTAATATAATGTATTTATAAGATGATACCTTCTTATTTCTAAAAATTTAATTATGTCAACCAAAATAAATAAGTAAATAAACATTAAAATTAATCGTATCAATTATTTCTCAATCAAATCGATCAACTTTTATCGTTCAAATCAACTGAAGTAACCCATATGACATTGTCTAAAGATGATGAATCATAAAGAACTAGAAACGCTAATTACATAATATTATCTTAAGATCGAGACAGAAGATCATGGATTCCTACAACTACTAAGATTGAATACGTTATTTTTAATTCTCAAATTTTCAAAGCCCATCCCCTTAACTTTTTTTTTTCTTTTTTTTGTTTTTGTGAAAATATAAAGAGTTGTTAATTTGTTGGAAAAAAAGATGAAAGAGAAGAAAATTGCACTAATTGAATTCTAAAAGTCAAGCCCTTTGATTTTTTTTTCTTTTTTTATTTATTTTATTGTGTGGGTGGTATTATGTTTCATGTCTCTTTCTCTCTCTACAACTCATAATTGCTTTCTGAGTCAGCCATTAGTAATTAAGAAAAAACAAAATAATAAAATTAAGTCATTGTTTGGCTATTAATAAACCCTCTTTTTTTCTTTAATTTTATTTTCCTATTGGGTAAGTGAGGGAATTTTCCAAAGTTTAGTGGGGTATATGTGGAAATTTTTGACTGCACACGTGTGGGTCATGAAGCAGCACGTGGGAATTTGTTCAAAAGGAGTGGTTTGGAATCTGAGAAGACTTTTCAAAAGTGCTTTGGCTCTTTGCCTTCCTTCCCATGTGGGACAGCACTCTCCCCTATTGGCCATTAAGATTTTTACAGGCTGGTTTTAATGGGTTTTTTTTTCTTTCTTTTTCCTTTTTTGAGTGCCTTCAAAGTTGGGCAAGTGATAATCTTTCCTCAAGTTACGAATTGAAGAGATAGAGATGACAAGGATTTTGAGACGTGCTTCTCATGTTGACTTTGTGGAAAATTTTAATTTTTGTTGTCGATCCCATGAGAATTTATAATTTGCATCACTTTGGTTGGGTAAAATTAAGTGGGAACATGTGGCTCTCTTCTGTTGAGATGCATGTGTCCGAGCCTCAATTTAAATGTGTCGAGGATATGGAGGAAGTGGCCAGTGTGTTCGAAACAATAGCTTAGTTAGACTTCGATTTGGACAATATTTCGACCGATCTAGCATCTGTTGACATTCGTCATAACGATTATGTTGCCATGAGATCTTCTAACCACTAGTGGAGGATTCACTGAATGACATGAATGAACACCATCAATGTTAAACATACTTAAGTTTCGGAGTGTACGTGGCTGAACACCACATTAGCCTAAGGTTATGTTTGCAAGTCGCTTGTTAGTCCACATATGACATTGGCTATAAGCTTGCATCAACGCTTTGTTTCATTTTCCAATTGGAATAATCCATGTTAGAAATGGAGGAATCCATATTCAACGAGTGGAGTTTCTAGAAGAAAAATCTAAATTCCCTATTTATTACATTATTTTTTTAGTACAACATGTGGGGGGAGATCGAACTCACGACTTCTTGGTTAGAGATATATGTCAATTATCGTTGAGTTATGCTCATTTTGACCCCTATTTATTGCATTTGATGTAGTTAGGACGAATGTTTTAATTGTCGAGGTTGACAGATAATGTATCAATTTTATGAAAATATCGACCAAAGGTTAATAATGATGAATATTTCTAAAATATTTATAAAAATCAATAAATTCATTAAAAAAATCATACTAGTTTTAATTTGTGTAACTTGTATTTTTTTTTCCGCGTTAAAAACTTAACATATAGTTTAATTGAGTTGTAAAAGTCACATAATTCGTTTTCAAAAGTTTACTACTACATTGTATTTTGTTTTTTTTTTTAAATTAGACGTAAAAAAAATATTTAAAGATAGAAAACTAAAAGCACGTGGTGGTTATCAAATCAAGTAGGGTGCATTTTTGTTAGTGATCTTGGAGATTAAATTAAATATTTAGTTTAATCTAAAAATATCATTAATTAATTTATTAAATAAAAAATGTTATAAATTTGGTTAGAATTTGTATTTCACGATATTATATAATCTATAATATATTATATTTTACATGTTTTAATTTTAATAAAAATGAAATGAGTTTATAACATGAAATAGTGTATTTATCAAAGTTTTAATCTTTTTAAATATAATGCTGTATTTTAAAGTTTTTGATTCAAAATCTGAAAACTTAAAACATA